TTAGGTCTTGCATTATTAGGAATGTGTTACCTGGATGCCAATGTTCTGAAAGAATGCTAAATATTGTAAAAATGCTGGAGGTTTGGAGACTTTACCTGCTCTAAATCTTATTTTCATACTGTTTAGATTGAACTTACACAACTTATTGTCTTAATACAGCACCATTTGCCATGCGCATAAGCTGTGGAGCTCGTCGAAACGTACGGACAGCACCTACCTATACCCTTTGGTATAAAGATTTTGCATATACAGGGGGAATTCCTGCAAATGCAACACGTCCAAGTTATATAACTCCTCCACTGTCAACTCTGCGTTACTTCCCCTTATCTGAGGGTCCTAATAATTGTTATAATGTAAATAGGGTGCCAAAGGGGCACTACACGGTGAGGATCTTCTTTGGACTTGTTAACCAACCTAACTTTGACAGTGAACCCTTATTCGACATATCTATTGAAGGCACTCAAGTTTACTCTCTTAAATCGGGTTGGACTGGGCAAGATAGCCAAGCATTTCTTGAAGTCCTTGTGTTTATTACAGATCGATCTGTTGCCATCTGCTTCCATAGTACTGGCCATGGAGATCCAGCTATTCTTTCAATTGAAATTCTTCAAGTTGATGATGGAGCATACTACTTTGGGCCAGAGTGGGGTGATCAGGTGATCCTTAGAACGGTTACAAGATTGACTTGTGGTACTGGGAAACCAAAGTTCGATGAAGATTATAGTGGGGATCATTGGGGTGGGGATAGATTTTGGCACCCCATTAGAACTTTTATTCAGAGTGCTGATCAAGTTAGGTCTACTGAAGCTACCATTAAAAAGGCCTCAATTGCACCAAACTTCTATCCAGAAGCTCTTTATCAGTCAGCAATTGTTAGTACTGACAGTCAGCTTGATATAACATACAGTATGGATGTGGATCCCAATAGAAATTATTCAGTATGGTTACATTTTGCAGAGATTGATGCTTCAGTCAGTGTTGTAGGGCACAGGGTATTTGACATCCTGATAAATGGTGATGTCACATTTCCAGGTGTGGATATTGTAAAAATGAGTGGAGATCGTTATACAGCACTTGTACTTAACACTACTATGGCTGTTAAGGGAAGGACTTTGACAATAACCCTGCGCCCTAAAGAAGGAAGTCATGCTATCATCAATGCTATTGAGGTCTTTGAGGTGATAACAGCTCAATTTACAACTTTTCCTGAAGAAGGTAGATTTGCTATTTTCCATAATCATATTTTTATTTGTCTCCCCTTCCCCTAGACTGTTGCTGGGATGAAGCTTACTTTGGTGTTTGCATTAATTTGTGGGCATGTGCATCCATGGTTATGCATAAGTGCGTGCCTGTTTGTGCGTTAAATAGGGAGAGAAATAGCTATCCCTGAGTATTTAAAATGGGAATATTTTTTTACTTTTTATTTTTGGAAGCCAAATGGGAACATCTATTGGCATCCTTCTTTTTTTTCTCTGAGCTCTTCATGAGTAGACCTCTGAATCAGAGAAAATGTTTTTGTCTTCCTAGTCATTAATTTACTTGAAAAAACCTAGTTTAAAGGGAATCAACATCTTGATAGCTCATATAGGCAAGTAAATTTTCAGATAAGAATTAGAAGGATCAAGGTATATGGGGTGAGGTCTGGTGCAGGATGTTAAGTGACGTTTGTTTTAGTATTTTTCCTTTTCATGCGTAGTTTAAAATGGACAATATGTGCATTTTAGGCATCTTTACAGCTTTTTCCTACACTTGTGGTGATAACATAAGACATGCTTTTTTGGTGGTTCTAACTTGCAGTTATTACATTTTAGATCTTCTACCTTGCTCAGAGTTAAATGGTTGACTTGCATTCGTTACATTTGAGATCTTCTTTCTCAAAGTTAATGGGTTGACATGTATGTCTAAAACTTGGATATTTGGACAGTATTACTAATGATTTGTTTTTCCTTCTTTTATAGTTAGGGCTTTGCAGACTTTGAAGAGTGCATTGGGACTTCCTCTTAGGCTAGGTTGGAATGGTGATCCTTGTGTTCCTCAGCAGCATCCATGGAGTGGAGCAGATTGTCAGTTTGACAAAAATACCAGCAAGTGGTTCATTGACGGACTGTACTGTCTTTATCCTACACATTTTAATAATTATCTTTACAGTTTGAATGTCTGAAACTAGAGATGCCAAAAAAACCTGTGACCCGTCAAAACCGAACCGATCCACATATATACATTCTGGATTTTAACCGAAACCAGACTGATGCGGGTCAGTTCGGGGCGGGTTTTAGCTGGTGCCAAATTGGGGTGGGTCAGGTTCGGGTTTGAAGGTAAAAATCCCGTCTGAACCTGGCCCGCCTTTTTGTGTCTATAAATATTATATTTTTATTTAGATTTGTGAATATTTTATGATTTTAATATTTAAAAATCCAACTCACCTTCCCTTAATTTTACATATATAGCTTTGTGATATAAAATTAACCATTTGTCACGCCTGCTCCATTTTACATTCTATTCTTGTGCCTTCTGCTTAGAACTGCACAATCAGTGGTGAAAATCAGTTAATAAACAAATATTTCATTCTGCTTAGAGTCAGTTGATTGAGTTTTCTGAAGGATTTAACTATGGCCCCTGAATGGTCACAAATATCTTTTTCTTTTCTTTCTCTTTTCTCTCTAGTAAATGTATGTCTTTATATGGTTAAATATTTTTGAGTTGCTCCTATTTTAGCGTGTTCATATTTCTTTTTATTGTTTGTATATGGTCATTCTGGGAATTCCTACTTTGCCATGGCTAGAATTGAAATTTCTTAAGAATGTATGAGTAGCTAATTGACTCATGAATTTCATTCACAAATATGAGAGTCCACTGTTTTTCTTAATGGGACTTTAACAATTTCTTGATATGTGTAAGATCCATGGTCTCCTCCTGCACTGTTATAATGTTAGAGAATGAGAATATTTCCCATGTAGTCTATTATAGTAATAAGAATTTCAATGGTAGACTATTCCAATAGAATCAATTTGTAGTGTAGTCTATTTTCTAGTCGTAGTTTTACTTATGTCAGGAGTATTCCTATAAGTACAATGAACTATTTTTTCAACATATTAACAAGAGCAACAATGTAATGTTATCACCTGCTAGCTCCGTTTTTTCTTTATAAAAAATCAGAATTTTCTGTTCAATGCCCTAATTCCCCAAACCAGCTCTTAAAAAAAAAAAAAAATGTCTCGTGTAAAACAAGTTCTAAACACTCAGCTTCAGCAATATCTCAGGCCAATGCTGACGGACACCACTGTCACCATAGAATTGGTGCTTCCCTGGGAAGTGCTGGGTCTTTGCCATCTCAATGAAAGATTGTTCCTGTAACAGGGTCTGCTCAAAAGCTTGATTCACAGTATGGGGTTTAAGCAGTCTAACCATTAGCTTAAGTTCTGGTTTAAGCCCGCTAATGAAACTTGAGGGTAGCATTATCAGTCATCGTTAGTGCATACAGATGTTCAAATCGCTCCTGATACTCTGGTAGAGTACCTGTTTCAATGAGTTTGTTAAATTCTTCAATAAAATTGTTCCTATTGGCTCTCCTAAACCTCCTACATAGTTCCACCACGCAAACATTCTGTTCCAGTTCTTCATTCTTAGCAAGCTACCCCTAATACGACACATCAACAATTTTGTCCAAGAACAGAGAAGCAATTTCCACTCTCTGCTCATCAGGTGTCCTATTCACAATAAAAGTGTTTAAGACATTGCCGTACCCAAGCTCTCGGGTTGATACGCTTGAACAGGGGAATCTTCACCTTCAGCAGTGAGGATTAATATTGATGCTTCTCAGGTGTCCAATACTTACGCCAGCTTCACACGTAATAGGTGTGGACAGTAACCCTCTATGAGAAGATAGAGCAGGTAACCGTGCACTTCCTGGATTATTCAAACCCATTCCTGTGTAGCATTTCTACAATATGATCTACCCGATGACCAATTTTGTTTCTACAGTTTGTATATCTCTGACATGAATTCCCTCAATCTTTGATCAACATCTTTGACGGATATGTCGAGCTGTTGGAACTTTTGCTGCTCCATAATTGCTGATTTGCCTTTTTTTGTGGGTCATCGAAACCACAAATAGTTGTGCATCCTCAGAATCTAATGGCTCGGACACCACTCTGTCAATAGTGTTGGTCATTTAGTTTTGATGTAGGTTTCCAGTGATGGATTTAGCAAGTAGAAGAAGAAGAAATTGAGAAGGGAGGGAGAGAAGTAGAGAAGAGGTAGAGAGAATTTAAGAGGGAAGAGAGAAAAGAGAGATTGAATGATTTGAATTTGAATTTTTGGAATAATGTGAAATGTGTTAACAACCTCCTATTTATAATCAAGTATGAACTAACTAAAAGGATGACTACCCGAATAGCAAAATCATTATTATTCACCCGTTTACAACCAATATCGAGTAGGACCAATTGCAACCAACTCACTCTCTTATCCTACACCTTGAGTAAACCTCTAAGAGCTTGTTGTTGCTGACAGCTTGCCAGGCAACTAGGGTTTTGTTTGGTTTGAGAAGCTTGTGGATGTTGAAGGAGACAGTGGCTTGTATCCAGTAGTGGACTAGTGAATGAACTCCCTGCCAGAGAAGGGCTTCTGGGTTTGGCTGTGACTTGCCTATATCATCTGCTACTTTGAGAAAGACTGACACTGAGGCTATCAATGTGATCCATGACTCTAACCTCGAAACATAGAAAGAAACAAGAATTTAAAGATGAGAAAATTAGTGTAGTTGAGGGTCTTGCTAGTAGCTACAGAGTTCTTTATGTTGTAGGCACTAAAGGAAGGGTGAATTATTTTGGAAGCCATGGTGGAGAGACAGAGTTAGAGAAGAGGGAGAAAGAAGACACTCTGGAAAAAGTCACCAAAGGAAAAAGAATTACTAGGATGGCTATATACCATGTATACTTTATGGGAAATCCCCTCTGTGATCTTGTATTCATTTCATAAGCATATATTTACAACCTTTATGGGGACACTCGGAAAAGGAAAAATGCATTTCAAATAACACAAAGTGTATCCGGTCAGATTACAGGAAACACCAAAATCTCCAGTAATCCTTTCATTAGACTAGCTTGATTTTGGTGGCTTTTGCAAAGAAATTAATGTCATCAACAAACGATAATTACAATATGAATACCCTCATTCTTGAAAGGTAAAGGCAGCCACTTCCTATATCAAACTTCTCTAACAATAAGATTGGCCAGCTCCTCCATGCAAAAAACAAATAGGGAAAGTGAGATGGCATTGCGTTGTCTAGTCTTCTGGTAGCTTTGAATTTAGAGCAGGGCACTTCTCTCCGTTCCAGTATACTTTTTTTAAAAGAAAACGTATAGTATTAAAGGCACCAAAAAGATACGACCTGTATACAAGAACTTTATGAGTCTATCAACAAGTCAATCAAATTCCTATAGCCTTCCAAGAGTATAGACGATGACCATTAATATTTTAGGGTATGCAACCAAGTATCCTTGATTCTATCAAAAGAAAATTCTGTCCTCAAACACTTTTCCGTTCCTTTCTTTCAAAATAACC